ATTTATTTAATTTTTTAACATTTTATTAGGGGCTCATACAACTGTTATCCCAATCCATACACACATCGATTGTGTAAAGCGCATTTGTACATCGTTTCTCAAAACATTTTCTCTCCATTTAAACCGCCGACATTAGGTCCTCGGTATTGTGAGTCTTTTACGAAAAATCACTTTATTGTGTGCTCTTAACGCAATCCATACAACTCTTATCACAATCCATACAACCATCCATTGTGTCAAGCACATTTATATATCTGTTGCCATCATCATTCTCAAAATATTTGCTTTCTATTTGAGTCCTTGGTATCAGCTTCTCATTTTCCCCCTCCCTTCCCGCCGCCCCTCCCTCATGAACCCTTGATAACTTATAAATTATTATTTTTGTCATATCTTACACTGTCCGACATCTCCTTTCACCCACTTTACTGTTGTCCCTCCCCCAGAAAGAGGTCATATGTAGATCCTCGTAATCAGTTCCCCCTTTAGACCCGACCCTCCTGGGATCACTACTCTCAGCACTGGTCTTGAAGGGATCATCTGCCCTGGATTCCCTGTGTTTCCAATTCCTATCTGTACGTGTATACATCCTCTGCTCTAGCCAGATTTTTAAGGTAGAATTGGGATCATGATAGTGTGGGGTAGAGGGGGCATTTAAAGACTAGAGGAAAGTTTTATGTTTCATCGTTGCAACACTGCACCCTGACTAGCTTGTCTCCTCCCCGCAATCCTTCTGTAAGGGGATGTCCAGTTGCCTACAGATAGATTGGTCTTGGTTGCCCAATCTGCGCTCCCCCTCCTCCACAATGATTTGAGTTTTTGTTCTTTGATGCCTGATACATGATCCCTTCAACACCTCATGATCACACAGGCTGTTGTGCTTGTTTCATGTGGGCTTTGTTGCTTCTCAGCCTCATGGCCGCTTGTTTACCTTCCATCCTTTGAGATCCCAGACGCTATATCTTTTGATAGCTGTGCACCAACTTTCTTCACCACTTTTGCTTATGCACCCATTTGTCTCGAACAATGATATGATTTTTTGTTGTTGATGCATGATAACTGATTCCTTCAGGTGCTGAGTCTTAATTATATGTTCCGGCTCCCCCACTTAGCCTCCTGGTCTCCAGTCTAAGCCATCCCTTCGGAGCTGCAGCAGGACCCTCTTACCTGGTCACCATCTTAGCAGAAATCGTCCTCTTCCTCCTCATTCTCTTCTTCATCTATCTTTCTTTTAACTTTTGCTGCATGTGGTGGATGTGGACCATCTGCCTAAGTTGACATGTTCTAACTGATTATCTTAAAATTCTTTACAAAGAGTCACGTGTTTCGTCCTTAAGAGAAAGCAATGACAGGGTGACATTACACACCTTTCAGAGATATGAAAATGAAAAATCACAGAGGTTATTTAACTTGTCCAAAGTGACTCAGCTACTCACAAAGTCGAGATTTGAAATCTGTTTATCTGAATCTGAATATTGTTCCTTATCCACTGGGTGCCCTTCAGGAATGTAACTGGCGGCTAAAGGAGCTGAGTGACGCATGGATTAAGCCCTCACAGTTGGAATTCATTAGCTGCTCCATGAGAGAAAGACTTGGAGATCTGCTCCTGTCAACAGTCAGCCTTGCGAACCCCCAGGGCGGTTTTACTCTGTCCTAGTGGGTCACTGGGAGTCAGGATCCACTCAAAGTCTCCCCACCATAACCCTTGAACAGATGCAATTCCTGACAAAGTGCTCCCCAAAGGTCTCAAATCTGAAACCCCTGTGGAGTGCAGCGAGGCTATGCATACTGGGGGCACTCTCAGGTTTTTCTGTAATTCTCTTGTTAACTCTGCTTTCAACAACCCACATGGAGCATCTCTCTCTCTCTCTTTTGATTCAGATATTCTGTGGCTCTTTTGATCCTTTGTTGAGAAATAAGGACCAGTTTTCCTCCCTCTATCAGATGGCCACCAGCCACACTTGTCTGGCTTCTGGGATGGTCTCCTTATTAGTCCATTTTGAGTGGACCTGGGTCAGTATTTTAGTGCCAGATGATGCAAAAGGTGAGCAGTTTCTTTGGGACCTTCGAAGAGAAATGGCCGTCAAAGGTGTCTGCATGGCACTTATGGAAAAGCTTCCTGTGACAAAGGAAATGAACAAGCCAGAAGATTGGATCTTCATTCTCAGAATCTTAGACTCATCTGCAAATGTGGTCATTGTTTATGGTGACAGAAGTACGTCCACGGCCCTGTTCTTTGCAGGAGGCTATCACTTAACAAGGCACAAGCTGTGGATCACTACATCCCAAAGGGAAGAGATTGGCTTATCACTTAACCTCTTCCTAAATACTTTCCACGGGTCCCTTGTGTTTATACACCAGAGTTCAGAGATACCTGGTTTGAAGCATTTTTTAAGAACAGTGAATCCTTCCAAGTACCCTGAAGATATCTTCCTTAGCAAACTTTGGGCCAACCATTTCAATTGCTGCTTTGCAGGCACTTTCTGTGGGGAAAATCCTGAGTGCCCACCCAATGCCTCCTTGGCATCTCTTCCTAAGCCCTTTATGGACATGGCAAGGATGAAATCCATCCAGTATCTCTACAACAGTGTACACCTGGTGGCCCGAGCCCTCCATGAAATGATTGTTATGGGAGGAGAAGAAACAGGGTCCCTTCGAGATGCCAGATTCCCTGTGTGGCTGGTAAAACTTCTTTTTATATTTGATTTACATTAATGGATTGTTAGCACCTGAATATTATTTTAATGAGTTAAGAACTTATCATACCTTTAATAGCTAATTTAATCTTGAAAAATAGGGTAGGAGTCACACTTCCTAAGATAGTAAAACATACTAATTTTAAACATACGTAACATTTCCAAACATGCTAACAGCTGCAGGAGTAAATACATTAGTGGTTTAAATATAGAGGAAAATAAGATGGTTGTGCCCATGAAGACTTAGAGCCTCAGACGCCGTTCAGGGCGTCAGTGTGTCTGCATCGACTTGAGGGCAGTGGGCTTGGTTTCCACTTTATTTTTGTTTCTCAGGGGAGACGAAAGGTACTGGTTCAAAATAGACATATAGACGGATGGAATAGACTTGAAACTCTAGAAGTAAATGCACACATCTATGGGCAACCGATTTTGGACAAAGTATCAGTCTTTGCTTTTGAAGAATCTCTCCAAGAGCCCTAAAGAAAACCAATGGTCCGGGTTTCATATCGCGATCATTTCTACAATAGTCATCAGAAATATATTTTATGACAGTGGTTCTCAAACTTCCTAATTCTGCAACCCTTTAATAAAGTTCCTTATGTTGTGGTGACCCCCAATCATAAAATATTTCTGTTGCTGCTTCATCACTGTAATTTTGCTACTGTCATGAGTCTTTTGACCCCTGTGAAAGTGTTGTTCGACCTGCAAAGGGGTCGCGCATGACACACAGCTTGAGAACCTCTGTTTTATGAGAGAGTTTAAACTGATTACCTCTTGGACACAGATGGATTTAATGATTGCATTTATTCTAGCCCGCTAACCTAAAGTGTGGTGTTTCAAAATGAAACAGGAACATCACGAAAATGCCCATTGTTGTTGGTGGGTGCGGTTGAGTGGTTCTTACTCAGAGCACCCCTTTGTAGAGCAGAATGAAACAGTGCCTAGTGTGTTCCATCCCAACAACAGTTCTTGTGTTTGAGGCCCTCGGTGCCGCTCCTGTGTCAGCTCATCTTCCTGAAGGTCTTCCTTGCTCTCACTGCCCTGCTACCTCACTAAGCATGCTGTCCTTCTCCAGGGACTGGTCTCTCCTGAGAGCAAGTCCAAAGTCAGTGAGATGAAATCTCAGGATCCTTGGCTCTCAGGAGCATTCCAGCTGCATTTTTTTCAGAGACAAATCTGTTTGCTCTTTTGGCAGTCCATGGGATTATCAATATCCTTTGCCTGTATCATAATGTAAATACATTGATTCTTCTTTGGCTTTCTTTATTTAATATCTAACTTTCACACGCATGTGAGATGATTCAAAATATCGTCATTTGGATTAAGCACATCTTAGGACTCAAGTCTTTGCCTTTCAACACTTTAAAGAAGTCCTGTGCATCTTATTGTCCCAATGACATACATTTGAACTCTTACCTGCTGTTGAAACCTGTTACTTTGGTGACCCGCCTGGCCTTTGAAATACTGGTGACATAGCTTCCTGCATCACAGCAACACAAAAGCCACCACAGTATGAGACATTCACAGGCAACAGAGGAGAACCCCCGTGCTGTAATACTTTGGGTTATCATGCCTCAGAATTGATGGGTGGCTGTGAATTTGGGTTGGACGTTTTTTTCAACTTGGGATCTGTTAGGACATCCCATTCCTTGGACAATCAGGTTAGGGACCATATTTGTAACAGGGGAGGAAGAGAGGGGGAGAAAATCTGTCTGTCTGAGTATTCTGCCTCCAATGTCCTTGCTCCTCTCATTTCATAAACATGCTTTTCCTCCAGCTCCACCCATTCCTAAAACACACGCAACTGGAAAACAGCGTCGGAGAACGTGTTTCGCTGGATGAAAACAGACTTGAGATGTCACGATATGACATTTTAAATTATTTGAACTTTCCTGAAGGGTTTGAACTTCACGTGAAAGTAGGAGAGCTCGTTTCCCAGGGCCTCCATGGCCACAGTTTGACGATTTGGAAGAAGCTGATAGAATGGCCTATTGGATTCGAAGAGGTTAGATGAATTCTTCAATTACATCCAACAGATGAGACAAGATAGGAGAATAATTGTGTACCCACATAACTCACTACCAAATCTGTACTTATTAACTTATCATTAATTTATTTGTTAGTGCCAAATGATTTTAAAGAATACTTTTCACTAAGGTGATTCGGGTGTTACAGGGTAGCATTGCTCCATAGTCGTCGCTTGGCCGTCATCTTTACAGAAGCAGGGGGTCAGGTTTATTTTCTCTTGCCACCACTGGGTGGATTTGGGTGGAGTGTAGGGGGTCAATACGTTGTGATAATGACTTTCAGGGAGATATATTTGACTCTATCTTGCTCAAGGAGATTTTGGCCAACAAGCTGATTTAAAACTATAATTCACTAATTGCTCATATAAGTGGAAAGAGTATTTATTGAAAAGAATGCAGAAATTGTTTAAAATTTTAACATGAAAATATTAAAAAAAGAAAATTTTGAATGGATCTTAAGGGAAATCAAATGATAGGGTGCTGCACATGAAATCTAACTCTATCCGTGATAACCCACTTCTTATTTGAGGTGTCAATCTGTTTTACTTTGTTATTCTTGCTAGTTTGTTGTTGCTGTTGTTTGTTTTTCAATGTCTTTCTGTATGCGAAATACAGAATAGGGACATCTACTGCAGTGGTTCTCTATCTGCCTAACGCCGCTGCCCTTTAACACCTCATGTTGCAGTGATGCCCCAACCATGAAATCATTGTGTTGCTACTTCATCACTGTAAGTTTGCTACTGTTATGAATTGAGCGACCCCTGTGAACGGGTCGTTCGACCTCCAAGGGATCACAACGCACAGGATGAGAACAGCTGATCTACAGAGACAATACCTGGGGTGGTTGTTCCTTAGGGGTTGGTAGGGGAGGTTGTAGTAAGTGGGGAGCTAATAACAATGGGTACAATAATGAAGATAATATTCTAAAACAGATGGTGATGATGGTTGTACAACTCTTCTTGATGTGATTGAACTTCTGAATTGTATGCTATGTGAATTACATGCAAATAAAAATGGGGAGAAAAGTAAAAGAAAACCCCATGAAGAGGAACAACAGATGGAGTGTTTACTGAATGTGGTTGACAGTGTGCTGTTCGAGATGCACAACCAACCAAGTGAAACAAAACCCTGAACCAGTTGCTGTCAAGTTCATTCTGACTCATGGCTGTGCCTTGCGACCGAGCAGAACTGGGAACAACAGGCTTCCATTGACTCAAACTCTATAAGCAGCTTTCCCACAGGTCGTGGTGCTGCTGGCTGCACGCAGAGATCCACTTTCATAGTTGAGCACAAGCCACCCAGGGACCACAGTGCACAGATACAGGGAAGGACATAATCTGATGACCTGGAGTTTTGATGACTTGTGTACACTTTTGAAACAGGCTTTACTCTTTTGTCCTACCCCATCATACAAGAAGTATTTTATTTGACTTGAATCAACAGGACAGATCCACATATTGTTTGACCTCCCTGTGTGCATCCATTATGGTAAAATTTCAAAAGTAAGTTGTGAGGCATTGAAAACAGTGTTGTGGAGCCCTGGCGGTGCACAACGTAAGCACTTGATGACTATCTGAAATGCTCTTAGTTGGAACCGATGGGAAGTGTAAGAGAAGAGAGCCCGTGATTTGCTTATGCAAAGATTAAAGGCTTGGAATCCAAATGGGCAATTGGAATTTATCTTCTAGGACCATTGAGTCGGGATCAGTAGAGACATTGCCAGTCTGGATCACTAGTGGCATGAAGAGTCAGGATCCCTTGACAACAACAAAATGTTATTCAATATCACTAATTATAACCGAAAAAACACAATATTAGTCAGTATTATTACGTGATAAGATACTATCCCTTCATACACTATTATTGAACTATTCTCAATGATTCTTTTCCTTCAGACTCCCCACTCGGTGTGTAGCAAGAGCTGTGGCCTGGGATTCATGAAAATTCCTCAGGAAGGGCAGCCTTCCTGCTGTTTCCATTGTATTTTGTGTCCAGAAAGAGGAATAACTAATGAAACAGGTATGAACAGACAAAATTCCACAAGCAATTTCCCTAAGTTCTTATGAGCCTGTAGCACGAAGAGTTCGGGGCTCACTTATATACTCAACCCACGCAGAGGTGCTTCAGAAACAGTCCTGCCTATCTGCTTCCCGATATCAGAGACTCAGAACAACCAGCGGAGCTCAATTCTGCTCCCCACGTCTGGGGGTGCCATTAGTTGAGTTGACGCAAAAGGCATCAAACAACTATTGTGGAAAGTCACATCATTTCTCGTGGACAGATGACACGCGGTTTTTAAATAACAGAGTTGTCAGGTGGCTATAGAACAGAGAAAATGAAAACAAAACAAACCCCCTTTCACATGACCACCTGCGATTTCAAAGATGCCGCTGTGTGCTCTGTCTCATATTCCCTCTCACTTTGCTCTCTAGATAGCGATCAATGTAAGGAGTGTCCCCAGAGTGAGTATCCCAACATGGAGAGGAACCGCTGCCTACCCAAAACTGTGACCTTCCTGGCTTATCAAGACCCCCTGGGGATGGCTCTGGCCTGCACAGCTCTGTGCTTCTCTGTCATCACTGCCATGGTTTTGTGGGTCTTTGTGAAGTACCGAGACTCTGCCATGGTCAAGGCCAACAACCGCACCCTCAGCTATGTCCTCCTCCTCTCCCTCCTCTTTTGCTTCCTCTGCTCCTTACTCTTCATCGGCCGTCCAAACACAGTCACCTGCGTCCTCAGCAATATCTCCTTCGCAGTCATATTCACTGTGGCTGTTTCCACTGTTTTGGCCAAAACCATCACTGTGATTCTGGCCTTCATGATCTTGAGACCGGGGAGAATTATGAGGCAGTTGCTGGTGTCTGGGGTTGTGAACTCGGTGGTTCCCATCTGTTCCCTTATCCAATTGATTATTTGTGGCATCTGGCTGGGAACCTCTCCCCCTTTCATTGACATAGACTCATCCTCTGAACCCAGGAGCATCATCGTTGAGTGCAACAAGGGCTCTGTCTCTGCCTTCTACTGCGTCCTGGGATACCTGGGCTTCCTGGCCCTGGGAGCCTTTTCCTTGGCTTATCTGGCCAGAAACCTGCCTGACACCTTCAATGAGGCCAAGTTCCTGACCTTCAGCATGCTGGTGTTCTGCAGTGTCTGGGTGACCTTCCTCCCTGTCTACCACAGCACTCAGGGCAATGTCATGGTGGCTGTGGAGATCTTCTCCATCTTGGCCTCCAGTGTGGGGCTTCTAGGCTGCATCTTTGCCCCAAAGTGCTATGCCATCTTCCTAAGGCCAGATGGAAACACATCAAAGGGGTTAAAAGGTAAAGCATATTTCAGGCGGAAATGATCAGAATCTCTTCTGTTTGGTTTCCTGGAATAGTTCATGAGAAAGAATTAACGTAAGCCAGGAAACTACACTACCACATGCTCAGAGCCAGATTTAAAGTCATTCTTGCATGCCTTCCCGTGTCTCGAATTTTGTCTTTTTCATTGTTGTTCAGAGAAAACAACGTAGGTAGGAGTAAATTGAGGGTTTCTATTCCCACAAAGAGATATAGTCTTGGAAGCCCTGAGATGATCCTGGTCAGTCCTTTAGAATCTATGAGCTCAATTTTACAAGATGTCAGCGGGTTACATCCTTCAGAATCAGTTCCTACTCATTTCCACACCATGTATGTCAGAAACAATAAAACTAACTTGTCCAGTACCAGCCTCACCGATGTCATGATATTGGAGCCCATATTTGTAGCCACTGTTGTCGTCCATCTCATTAAGGATCTTTCTTTTTGTCCCTCACACTTTGCTTTCCCAACCGTGATGTCTTCCCTGAAAGATGTGTCCCTATTGATAACAGATCTCAAATACGGTGAGATGAAGTCTTTTCATCGTCACAGAGCCTTTAAAAATTATTTTGTCGGGGGGGTCATACAGCTCTTATCACAATCCATACAAATATCCATTGTGGCAAGCACATTTGTATATTTTTTGCCATCGTCATTTTCAAAACATTTTTTTTCTACTTGAGCCCTTGGTATTAGCTCCTCATTTTTTCCCATCCCTCATGGACCCTTGATAATTTATACCCTACAAGATAGAAAATGATAGACCAATATTCGTCATGGACAGAGATGATAAAATCCAAAAAAAAAATTATGGCCCTTGAATCCAACATCATAACACAAATATAATTTACCATCACAAAGTGGGATTCAATCCAGGGATGCAGGGATGGTTCAACATTCAAAATAGGATCAGTGTAAATTGCCAGGCAAAGAATGTAACCAGGCAGGAATGTAAACTACACGATCCTATCAAAAGATGCAGAAAAGGCATCTGACAATATACAATTCTCTTTATATACCTGTGTATGGTCTAGTCTGAATTGAGAAACAGCTGGTAGCTCACGACACACAGAATACAGGAGCAGGAGTTGGAATAGTCATATCAGAAGAGCGGGAGAGGAAGGGAGAAAGGGGGAACCGATTGCAATGATCGATGCATAACCATACACCCCTCAACAGGGGGAAGAACAACAGAACACATGGGGGAAGGGAGACAGCGGTCTGTGTGAGAGATGAAAATAATAATTTCCACTTTATTAGTGGGTCATGAGTTTGGGGGGTAAGGGAGAAAATAAAAACAGAGCTGATACCAAGGGCTCAATAGAAAGTAAATGTCTAGAAAAGAATGAGGGCAACCTATGTACAAACGTGCCTGATTCAATTGATGTATGGATGTGATAAGGGTTGTAGGAGCCCCCAATATAAATATACATATATTTATATATAAATACAATTTAATCATTAAAAAATATATACCCAACTCTTATTTTTGATTTTAAAAAGACATACAATCAAATAGTAATAGAAGGAAAATTCCTCACCAGAATAACAGTCACACACTACAAAACAACAATCAACACTAACCTCAATTGGACTAAACTAGAGACATATGCATTGAATACAGGGACCATACAAGGATGTCCCCTATCCTCATGTTTATTCAACATTGCACTGCAAGTCTTAGGTGAAGCCATTAGACAGCAGTAAGAAATCAAGGGAATGCAAGTAGGCAAAGAAGAAGTAAAATGTTTGTTATTCTCAGAGGACATGGTGCTATATACAGAAAACCCAAAAGTCTCCCCAAACCCTACTGGAAACAACCGAGGGATTTGACAAATTAGCAACATACAGAATCAGCAAGATGAAATCAATAGGATTCCTGTATACCAGGGAAAAGAGGTACAAGTAAAAGCATTAAGAAGTAAATAAATCTCTTACCAAAGACTTTGTGGGAGTTACATAATCTGGTGTCAATTTGGGACTGGAGAGGATTAAGACTGAAGGGGTAGAGTCTAGTCTGTCAATCAGGTCATAGCCAATGAGGTCTGTGTGGCATTCTGAGAATTCTGGGAACTCCTATATTTCCTCCTTGGAGGTGGAAGACACTCTCTCTCTCTCATCTCTCCCTAAGAGACATTGCGGCTGACAAGACACCTGGAACCACACTAGTGTCCTCAGCTGGAGAAGCCACATGGGCCCACCCTGCTTCAACCAAACCTCTGAAACTGGAGAGGCCCCATAGAGACCCCTGCCTGTGCTGAGATGCTTACACCGCCACTGGATCCAGAAGACGCCCAACCCCCTGGCCTGTGATCTTCCTGCATTCGGTGTCATTGCATGTGTTTGTGAGTCTGAAGAGGACTTTATAGATCAGTATCAGACATATGGGCTAGTATTGGACTTACTGGCTTGAATAGGACAGGGTTGGGATGCTTTCTGGATATCCATTTACTCTTTGATATGAAGCGCTCTCTCTTACATATATTTAAGTGTCCTGCATGTGTTTCTCTACTCTACTCTGACTAATACAGACTTCTTTAAAGATGTCATTTTGAAGACGAAAGTTATTGACTCAGACCATGGTGTTTTCTATCACCTTATATGCTTGGAAAAGCTGTACAATAAATAAGGTAGACCAAGAAACCATTGATGCCGTATGAATTACACCATAAACTTTCAGAAGAACAATAAGTGTTTGAAGAAGGACAACCGAATGCTCCTCATCAATGAGAAGGGGGAGACTTCCTCTCATGTCCTATGTGAATGTTATAACTATACCAAAATAGCCATGCAAAACCTGAAACACGTGGGAATAAACCTAACCAAAAAACAAAAGCCCTGTACAGAGAAAACTACAGAACCGTATGACCAGAAACCAAAAGGGATCTACAAAAATGGAAGAAGATATCATGTTAGTGAAGCGGAAGACTCAGTATTGTGAAAATGCCAATACTACCTAAAGCAATCTACAAATTCAAGGCAACCATGATCCAAATTCCATCATCAAGTCCAAGAAACGACTATGGAGCAATGCAACCCTGCAACACCCAAGATCCCCTAGTTAAAGGTATTCTTCAAAATCCTTTGGCCCTAACAAATCAATTGATGATATGTTAATAAATACAAATTTTGTAGTGCGTTACGTGGTTACACGATTATTCTCACATCTTGTCTCTTCTTTTGAATGTAGTCGAAAAATTCATCTAACCTCTTCGAATCCAATAGGCCATTCTATCAGCTTCTCCCAAATCGTCAAACTTTGGCCATGTAGACCCTGGGAAACGAGCTCTCCTACTTTCACGTGAAGTTCAAAACCTTGAGGAAAGTCCAAATAATTTAAAATGTCATATTGTGACATCTCAAGTTTGTTTTCATCCAGCGAGATGCATTCTCCTGCGCTGTTTTCCAGTTGCGTGTGTTTTAAGAATTGGTAGAGCTGGAGGAGAAACATTTCTATGAAATGAGAGGAGCAAGGACATTGGTGGCAGAATACTCAGATAGATTTCCTCCCCCTCTCTACCTCCCCTGGTACTGAATATGGTCCCTAACCTGATTGTCCATGGAATGGAGTGTCCTAACAGATCCCAAGATGAAAAAGAAAACCAAGACAAATTCACAGCCATCCATCAATTCTAAGGGATGAGAACCCAAAGTTTTAAAGGTCTGAAATGCTCCATGGGGTTGCTCCACCATTGCCTGTGAGTGTGTCATACTGTGGTGGGTTTTGTGTTGCTGTGATACTTGAGGCTATGTCACCAGTATTTCAAATGCCAGCAGGGTCACTAAGTAACAGGTTCCAACAGCAGCTAAGTTAGCAAATTTATGTCATTGGGACAATATGTTGCACAAGACTGCTTTAAAGTGCTGATGGGCAAAGACTTGGAGATGAAGGTGAGCTTAATCCAAGTGATGATATTTTGAATTTCTCACATGCATGTGAAAGTTAGATATTAAATAAAGAAAACAAAAAATGGATCAATGCTTTTAAATTATGGTACAGGTAAAGAATATTGACAGTACCATGGATTGGCACATGAGCCAACACATTTGTCTCCGAAGAAGGACAACTGGAATGCTCCTTAGAGCCAAGGATCATGAGATTTCATTTCTCTTAGTCTGGACATTCTGTCGGGAGGGAACAGTCCCTGGGGAAGGACAGCATGCTTAGTGAGGTAGCAGGGCGGTGAAAGAGAAGAAGACCCTCAACAAGATGAACTGACAGAGGGGCGGCACCGATGGGCTCAAACCTAAGAACCGTGGTTGGCATGGAACAGCACTGGGCACTGTTTCATTCGGCTCTGCACAGAATTGATGTGCATTAGAAACAACTCAATAGCACCTACCACCAACAATGGGATCTCATGACTGCAAATGCCAAACTCTTTGCGGTGTGGCTGTTTTATTTGAAACACCACACTTTAGGCTAGTAGACTAGAATAAAGCCAATCATTTGTGCCATCTGTGCCCCAGAGGGAATTAGTTTAAACTAGCTCATAAATCAGGTTCTAAACCTGTGTGTTGCGACCCCATTTGGTGTTGAACGACCCTTTCACAGGGGTTACCCGATTGATA